TGTGTGTGTGTGTGTGTGTGTGTGTGTGTGTGTGTGTGTGTGTGTGTGTGTGTGTGTGTGTGTGTGTGTGTGTGTGTGTGTGTGTGTGTGTGTGTGTGTGTGTGTGTGTGTGTGTGTGTAAGGAAGCTAAAAGTAGACAGACAAAAAACAAGATTAAACTTGTGTGTTTTCCCTTTATGTTAAAGCTGACTATTTGCATTTCCACCACCTCCACCACCATAAGACACACAATAAAAAGTGTGAGGACTTTAATCTGAAAGTGACAAACCAGTGCAATCCATTTCAGAGTGTCAGTAGAAAAACAGTGAGAGCACTAAAAGCCTGCCGTGTGAGCTGCTGGGTGTGTGGGTTCAGAGCAAGTGTGTGTCTGCGGGCAGAAAGCTCCTACCTTCCCTCACAGACCTGCTCGCTGGGTGGCGACACTGCTGGCGAGCGAACTGAAAACTGCAAACGACAAAAGCTGGAACAACAGGAAGATAATTCACATTTGATTGGTTTCACGTGTTCTTCATAAACAACAAAGTTTTCCTGTGCCTGCAGCGTGTTTTCCTGCAAACATGGAATCCATTTGTCCCCTGTCTTCATGCCCTGTAGTTGCACAGGCTCATAGCCACACACACACACACACACACACACACACACACACACACACACACACACACACACACACACACACACACACACACACACACACACACACACACACACACACACACACACACACACACACACACACACACACACACACACACACACACACACACACACACACACGCACACACACACACACACACACACACACACACACACACACACACTGAAATGAAAGCAGGCACAGAGCGAGCCCACTGTGGCACTGGGATCTTTTGATATACATTCAGGAACTTATTTTGAAAACAGCCACTTTCAGCTGCTAAAAATAATCCCGAGGGACCGAGAGGAACATGTGAGTGATGCTGGCCAGATCTGCCCCCCTCCCATCAAAATAATGTCCTGACAGAGGCTTGAGTTCTTTAATGTCACTTTATTGGAAAGTGTTCCTTTGATATTCAACACATGCATGTGAAATTGAAAGGGCTGGTCCACTGTAATACAAGAAAACATATTTTCCATTTTTACCTCTTAACGAAAGTGTGGATTTGATGTGTTCAGGAATTTTTCATTTGGTTATTTCTATGCAATGTAAGTAAACCACTTGTGAATTATTTGTATCCAAATATACAGAAATAAATAAATTCAGCTATTAAAATATTTTGTTTTTCTGACTTTTCTCCAATCTTTGTTTCTTTTTGAGAAAATGTTAGTGTTACCTCTTTAAGCTCTCTCAGTTTAAAACATGTATGCACATGTTGCAGCATGCAGGGAGCCACTGTTCAAACTGTTTTTGTACATATTGCAAATAAAAGCAAATGACTTACTTACATTACTGATAATTACATACATATTAGCAATGAAGAAATAAGCAACCCCTTAAGAAACAGATGTGGGAAAAGTCATTTTTAAACTAATGACATGGTCTATGTACATTCTAGGTTAAAAAAAAAGATTACAATGATAGCAAATATGTGAGCAGTATTTGCATATTTATTTATATATATTTCTTCTTGGAATATTGAACAAATAAAAACAGGGAATAATTGAGGTTTGAAGATTTCACTCAGTGTAAAAAGATGATCAGTCAGACTAACAGTGACATAACATGAGTAGTTAAAGCCACATAAGATGAGTTTTAAAAGGACACATGAATATGTATGTGTATGCTAATTGAAGCTGTTAAATTGCTCAAACTGAACTGACTAAACATTTCCTTTGTACGTTTTTCTACACCGCAGCTTTATTTTTGTAGCTTTTTGTCAGTCAAAACAAAGCCCCTTGTTGAGCGCAGTGTTACAACAGAATATCATCAGACAATGAGCTCAGGTTACAGTCCAACACCAACTTCAGCTGTTTGTGAGTTCCACAGCCTCAGTCTTATAGCACCGGCCATATGGTGCAACAATGCAAACACAAAGGCTCTGTCCACTCTCTGTCAGCACAGAGCAAGGTCACTGCTAATTACTCTCTAATCATGATTTCCAGGGATTATCTGAGCCTCTGGTATTTTTTTGATTTCAAAAGAAAAATACCATCTCAGATAAATTCCAAATCCATCCACAAATGTTTAGCTGAGCACATGTGGTTCAGAGAGAGGGCCTCCAGCTCGGGCCCTCCTTCACAATCAAACCACTTTAGTGGTCCCACAAAGCACGCTCATCCTGGAAAACACGTGACAAAAAAACACACACTGTGAGTGAGGAGAGTTTGTTCAAGTCCAGCAGGGATGCATAACGGAAGGAAAACACCTGTTGCCTTCTGAGAGAGTTTCAAGGCTATAATACATTTAGGATTTTTTTATTTTTTTATTATTTGATTAAACATAGTTTTAAAGATTAATCTAGGATGCCAAATATGTTTTTAAAAAGTACAACACTTTAAACAAAGAATTAGTCGTGTTTTCCTCCAGCTTGAAATAACAGTTGTTTCCCTGAAAATTAACCGCTATTATATTTATAGCCTTAAACCTCTTATCAGGATACATTATTGTATTTTTTGGCCGATTTTCTTTCCCACGTTTCCCCCTCTTTTTTGTTTCAGAGTTGTGATCGTTCAACATGCTCCGTAATACTTTCATAAATCGCCTCCATGCTGCAGGATGGTGAAATAATGGCCCTGTCGCCCACCCGCATTTTACTGTGCTGTAAAAATAATGAAAGTCATATTGCGCTGCGGTCTCAGATCTGCAGGAACACGGCACACGTGTTGAGGAGGCCCGGAGATGTTTTATAAATTGATGTGAATTTTTGGAAAGTTATTTGGAGAGTGCTTGCTTTTTTGGAGCGGAGCCCGGCAGTTAATATGGGGGGATTTGACCATATTTAGTTAAATATATTTGTTGTTATGGATTCAATATTTACCGAGCGGAGCACAGTTACATATCATCTTTGTCCAAATCAAGAGTTTAATAAATTAGTTAAAATATTTTCTGCTGATGATTTTCAATTTGTGGCAAAAATAATAATGACAGAAATACAGAAAACACAAAACTTCTTTGTACAAATATATCACCAATCTATAAATTGAATATATTAAGATATATCAAATATTTGATATTTAATCTATATATTATCAACTGTTTGGCACGTATCCTTTACAATAACTTTGAATTTAATACACAATAACTTTAAATCAACTTTCAGAGAATCCCCAAAAGTTTCCTGATTCGATCACAATTAAATTATGTAATTATTTAATGCTGTAAAAATAATGTAGCAGTTAATTCATAAACACATTAATGAGTGTAAGACGAGTTTTTAGTCAAAGACAACTTTATTATCAATATCTCTGATCGTGTTACAAACAGGGAGACCGAAGTGCGTTTCGTTGTCCCAAAGATTACACATTACAAATAACTACAAAAAAGAAATAGATTATGTATGTATACAAACATACACCAAATAAAGATAAAACATAGGCTTTTGTATGCTTTATTTTTACACAAATTATGAATTGTGCAATTGATTTAATTGTAATAAACAACAGTTACTCAGTGGGAAAAAGTGTGTAAACACCGGGAGCAATGGCGTCATTCATTAATCATTAACACGGACTGTTTTAAGCAAGGCGTGTTTATTTAGAAGACCTTTCAACAAAAAGTCCATTGAAAGTTCTGTAGCCTATATTATAGAAGCGAAAGAGGTTTTTACAATAAATTGTAAAAAATAAGGATATATAGGCCTAATAAGCACAAGTCGAATAAAACTGGAAAATTAAAGTTATTTGCGACGGATACGAAATGTGCAATTTAGTGATAGACAGGCACTTTCTTCGAATGGTTTCAGGTAGCCTAATGTTGTTTTTTCAAAACGACATTTAATTAAATTATTCTTATTATCATAATGAATAGGCTATGCATTATAGCATACTTGAATAGTCCCGGTAACACCACCTGACCTGAGCCGGTAAGTGAAGGTGTTCAGATGTCCTCAGTGTTTCTGCCCCCGTGTGGTGCAGTGAACCTTACAGTGTGTTTATCCTGCAAACACAAGCGACAGTGAACGCCTCACTAAACTGTTACATGCTCCTGCAGGGAGAACGGGAAATATAGGACACCTTAGCTTCATTGAGTAGATTACTGTCCTTATCATCATTAGGATTACTCTTATTAGTATAAGTATAAGTAGTAGTAGTAGTAGTAGTAGTAGTAGTAGTAGTAGTAGTAGTAGTAGTAGTAGTAGTAGTAGTAGTAGTAGTAGTAGTAGTAGTAGTAGTAGTAGTAGTAGTAGTAGTAGTAGTAGTAGTAGTATTTGCAGTAGTAGTAGTAGTAGTAGTAGTGGTAAGAGAGCCTATGCCATCAAGACATTTTTAGATTTTTTTTCATATGAAGCTGGTCCTTTTTTTTTACTTTTGTGATGTTTTTAAATCCATGAACAATCATGAAAGATGCTGCAGAACAGTTATAAATAAATTGTTAATGACCATGATTACCTTTTTTCTCTTTTAATGTTAATTCTCTCCCGGTATAAAAACGGTTAATCTTTTTACGTATCTGGTAAATTGTCCTGGTTTCAGGCAACAATTGCTTTCTTTATTTTCTCTGCCATTATGAAATGGTTGTACAGTGTTGTCAGCAGCTATTGAGAGACAACAAGCACTGGATACAAAATGTGATGTTTTTTGCTAAATATATACGTTTCCAGAACCTTGGAGCCCTCACATGAAGCTGCTTGTCCATACATCTCAATTTGAATGAGGTTTTCCTCCAGGGAGCCTCATTTTGTATGACTTCATACATAATTATGATGGTAACTGCTGTACATGATAACAGCTGTGTGAGGGAAGTAAAACCTAAGTTACTCACTCACTTACTTGCACATGCTGTGGTAAATACATGGGAGGTTGGAGTTTTCCATTAAAATTAACATGTTAAAAATAAAGATTTTTAGCTAAGAAAGACATTTCTAACAGGTTAGCAGAAGTCAGGTTGTTTTAAAAAAGGAAGGGTAGATGTCTTCATATCGAGGTGGACTTTCCTCCTCTGTCTTCTCAATCCTACAAGAATAAAACAACATGGCAGAACAGATTAAAGAGAAGAACTGGCTAATATCCAAGTGTTTCCAGCCCCAATTGGTTATTCTTTAAGCGCACATTAGGAAGCAGATTGCCCCTTTCAAAGAAAACACTGAGCAATCCCTACCCTACCCGTATGTGGCAGTCAGCAGTGGAAAGAGACAGAAACAGGTCAGAAGTTGTGACAACTTAAGTGAGAGCTGGTGAGCAGCATGTGTTCATAAGATCAGGGCAGCAGTTTAAAGTTATCCTAGGTTAACTGTATTATTGCTGCTGTCTGCTTTTATTAAAGTGAATTACTTTCCTGGAAACCTGCTGGGAGTAATCACCTAAAAACAATAAAAGAAAGTGAAAACTTGCAACTTTCCACTAATGAAAAGCAGCTTTGTGTTGAGCAGAAAGCTGTCCAAGGATATTTGATTGGATTTTAAATAATTGGTTCGTGCAATTGGTGGAAGAAAGATTTTTTCTATGACAATCCGCCATGTTATGATTCCCTCAGCACTTTGTTTAGGAACAGGTGGGGAAATATGATTAATGATGCCCCAATTAGCTTTATATACGCCGTCAAATACCTTTAATATGACGTTATAGCGTTGATTTTGCTCAGTGAAAGCCATATTTTGATGATGCCGCTAGTAAGACTGGGTCCCGAGGGTGATTAAAAGAGAATTTGACGAGCAATTTGGGTTTTAATCCTCTTCATTTTATTGACACGGGGCTTATTTGGTTTAATGAAAAGCCTAAGAAAGTGTTAAACACATTATATATGTAAAACATTTCTTTCCTTCTTATATTACTTTTGGACACATTTTGAAGTATAAAGATGTATGCAAATATCCGTGTGTTGACTTCTAGAGAGATTCATTGCGCTATAATTGACTGAGAGGTTTGACGGCCAAAAACACTTTGGGCCAAGTGGAAAGTGATCTTGTGGTTAATAAGAAATGAACTCCGGCACACTCTGTTTTAATGAGCGCTGTGAGAAGCTGTGACTTTTAGGCACAAATCTGACTGAAGATTGAAGATTAACTCTCTACCTCTGCCAGTTTCAGCTGCTTCAGTGCTGTTGCATGCTGACAGAACTTCATCAACACTTTTAAGGGGAGATTTCATGAAAAAACACATTTCTTCAGTGTTAATGCACATACGTACATTTGGGTATTTCAAGTGATTACCAACCCACAATTTGTGAAGTAAGACCAGTATTTTAGGGGCTGCCAATTACATTTTGCTTCCTTTTCCTAGGAAACATGCAGGTCTATATAATATACCGCTACTTAATGCGAGCTTCTCCACAAACAGCTTGAAAACTACCTTTGCGAACATGCGTCATATTTCTCTAACAATCAGAGAGTGGCTTTTAAAACTGCTTTTAAAAAATGTCGACCAAGGGTGAATAAAGGTAGAAAGACTGACAGTATTAGAAACATAATGTGTTTTTGAGCATTATTGCATTTGGAAAAATGTTATATTAGTAACCAAAATAGAAGTATGAAACTGAAAGTCACATTTAAGTACCCAAACTGGAAGTACAGATTATTTAAGCTTCCTCAAATGTCTGAACAATGTATGTAAGCAGTGTTTCATACCTGCTTCTCCTGTGCTCTGTTTCTTCTTCTTCTGCGCCACTCACACACCGGCCAGACTGGAACCCAGCGGCCTGGTGTACTTCCCGGTTTATAAAGTCATACGGAGGTGGAAGATGAAACATTGCTGTGGCATTGTGTAATATGATCGGTGGATTTATGCCACTTAAAATGATCGAAGGTCCTATTGATGTTTGATCCATGTCAGGCGCTCCTTCACCCAGCTGTCGGCAGGGCCCGCAGGAGACCACCCTAAACCTGTAGAAGCTGATTAGCATGACGGTGCCTCCGATGGAGATCAGGATGGGTCCTAGAAATTGGGTCCACCCAAAGTTGGAGTTTTCTGGGTAGTGATACCAGCCCATGGTGGTTAAAGTGGCACCCACAAGGCCGAGGGAAACTCCTGAGAACAGCAGGAAGACTCCAGACTTCTTGCTGTACTGCAAACTGTCTGAATGTGCAGGATGTCTGACCTGGTTGGTCTCCATGACAGGCCTTTGCAACATCAAGTGAGTCCAGGAAACCTTCAATCGTGAGTCTCCTGGGTGTGTGACACTCAGACTGATTCTCTCACAGTGAAGTCAAACTTATACACACTGAGTAACTAAAGTAATACATTAACCTGCACTGTAGTTCTGTTTGGCATAAAAACATGGTGCAACATTATGAGTCACAATCTACAAATAGCAGCTTTTCCTTTTCAGTAAATGAACTCATTTAGACCAAAAGAGTATACAGAATAATGCATATAATAGTAATTTATGCACAAAGTAATGTTGGGATGGTGAATTAGAAATGCTTGTGGCAGATAATATGTTTCGGCAAATGTATTTTAGCGTATTGAACATCCTCCTACACAATAAAACATAAGCCTGCAGTGAAATGATAGTACTATATTTACAGAAGACCCTATAAGGCTCATATTTTAGTCAGGTATGAGACATGTCCCCAGCCCCCAGGGAGCATACCGTGCGGTATTAAGACCACGAGATGAGATGGTCTTAATACCTCACCTCAGATCCCTGGTGTGTTTAAGGTCCATCTGAGAGGCAGGAAAATAAGAAGAAAGGGGGATTCCTGCACGCATAGAACGTGATCCAAAAACCCACCTTGTCACATGTCATTTCACACAGACACGTCTCCCATCTGCGCTGCAATGCATAACTCATCAGCTACAGCTCGTGCTGCAATAGTTGAACAATCAGTCGAGCATGTTAAGTGGAGGGGCTTAAAAACACATCACGCTATACGTGTTACAGTCAGAGGCTAAATGGGCTGCACACAAAGTGAAACCCACACAGAACACGCAGGCGGCCCACTGAGAGAGCACTTCAGTGTCACTAAAGCTGCCTGTTCTCTCAGTCTACAAGTCTATTGTTTCAGTTCTCCTGAAACTGTTGTCTGACTGCTTTTGAAGATTGGTTTGAAATCTTACCCATTTTAAACCGATGTTTAGAAGGTTTTCGGACCACTTGGGTATATTTGGTTTAGTTTTTAGCGCTAGGATTAGGGTTTTTAGTTTTCCTTAGCTTGTAAATGTTTCTAATAATGCATGAACTCTCTCCAACTCTAGAAGCGTTAGTTATATATTATACATATTTTCTGTTTAGTGTCTAGGCCCCTATTATAAAGCTTTGGCAAGCTAATCGGGGTGACCCATTTCACATATCTCCATTATATCTTATGGTTGCATTTGTATTTGTACAAACTTAATTTGATTTCTATAAAGCTATAAATATAAATATAGCTATAAATATTCTATAAATCATACTATAGTCTCCCTTACTCAGTGTTTCCTCTCTAGGCTGCAGCAGAGCAGTCTGAAAAAACAGCTAGACATGTGTGTGTGCACTAAAACAACACCTATAGTATGTTCATGAATTTTTAATCCCGAATGCAAACACGGTGACATGCAAACATGTTTTTCAGTTGAATTTCCTAGCAGTCTGCTCTTCTCCCAGTGGACAGCTTGCATTCGCTTACATGAAAGCACGTCCGCTCTGTGTGGCGTGTCACAAACCTGCCGATCGGAAGGCAGGATCACAAGCAAAACAAAAGGAAACAACAGACTATCAAACACACATTGCCAGAGGCAGACAAACCTAACCTGTGTGTGTCAGTGTCCCTGAATGTGTGCGTCTTTCTGTCTTTATGTTTACTATAGTCTCAGTTCATTTCACTTGGCACTAATGAACAAAGGGACAGATAACTATACAAAGAATCCATATGAGGGCAGTGTTTAAAGAACCCCCCAGAATTGAAGCTGCACAGATTCTTTCAATTAGCCAACTCCAAATATTTATGGTCTGAACATTTCCTCTCTGGAAGGAAGGAGAGATCAATGTGTGTGTGTGTGTGTGTGTGTGTGTGTGTGTGTGTGTGTGTGTGTGTGTGTGTCCTGTTACCTCACACTGGGGTGTACTGATCCCCTGGGCCTATGCTTCATTACACTTGATCTATGTGCCACCATTTTACTAAAGCAAACTCGCTCTTATATCAGAAATAATCCAAGAGCAGCCACATGTCAAATACCTAGTTAAAGTTCAGCATTAATGACACTTTAAAGATCTTTGTGCATGTAAATGGTCTGCAAAGGCTATTTTCCTACACATTCACCTCCTGCCTGAAACCTCTTCATTAGACTCCTTTGTTTACATTACATTACAACCTAATGAGATCACTATGTAACACTCGCGCTCCTATTGGCTAGCGCTCTAACACATTGTGCGTGATAGGCTAAGGCAGGGCTGTCCCTCCCTACAGGCCGATCACGCAGACTGCATGGGGCCTCACCTTGCGGAGGGAGCCTCAACTGAGCCGCCACAAATGCGGCGCAATTAGTGTGGCGCAGCACGGTTTCGCCGCTGCGAGGCTCCACTAGCACAACCCCCCCCCCCCCCGTCGACGCTCGCGAAACATCATATAACTTTGCGTGGGGCCTCAAGTTGGCCCTGGGCTAAGGGGTGGGAAATCTCTAATCGGTTGACCAATCACAACAGAACCATGTAACCAATCACAACAGAGCCGGCCAGCTAACCAATCAGAGCAGAGTGGGCTCTGGTTTCAGACAGAGGGTGAAAAGAGGTGCTGCAGCACAGACAGTATGAGAGAAATAAAGAGCTTTTTGAACATTCAATTAGAGGCACAGAATACTGATATGAACCTGGACATTTCTTTTTTTAATATGTCCTCTTTAAAAAATATACCGATAACATATTTTGAGAATCCTAACTAGTTACACATCACTCACATTTCCATCATGCACTAATGCATCAGAAGTGCACATTAGGCCCCAAATGTACCTCTTTTTACCTTGAGCCTGAAGCTTTTAAGTGTACAAAAAAAGTGACCGTTTCGACCTTATTGCCTCTTGTCCTTCTGTGCAAACACTGTCCTTGTCTCTTCTCCCATGTGTAAAGGATTTCAAATATACTATTGTTATATGTTTATAATAACCATTCCTCTCAGGCTCTTCCTGAGGTTTCCCTCTTTTTTGCTCCATTAAGGATATTTTGAGAGTTTTTTCTTATTCAAAGCAGGGGTCTAAGTATGGATTAAATATACATACAGTACAAAGCAACACAATTCCAGTGGCACATGCTGTTGGGCCAACAAAATAGGGCCAATGGATCACTGCAGGAATTAAGATGTGACCATTTCTCAGCGATCCCCTCCCCCAAACACACGCTCACACACACACACGCTTACGATGACAAATAGCCTGTGACGTGCCTCTGTGAACATGGCACGGAAGGGTCCACTCCGGGACTGAGTGTCTCCTCGCTGCATCTGACTTTCACTTCCTCTGAATCATTTCACCTTTCTAGCAGAGGTCAGAAAAAAAACATCCAGTGGAATCAAAAGGTAGTATTCCTGTATCTGTCCGTCTCAGGATTCACCGTCTGACTCTGAATTTGTGAACTAGCGCAGGGGTACTCAATTACATTTTGAAGAGATCCACTAACCCTAACCCTAATAGTTCATCCCAGCAAAGGTCCACACTTCATAATGTCTAAATTGCATAAAGTAGCCCACCCATATGTCAATGAAATAAAATCAACACCATGTACTTCTTTAACATGCAACAAAGCGTGGCATTTGTATGGAAACCAACCTAAATAGAATTAGCCTTATAGCTAGCATTATGAGGCCCATTGCAAATAAAATAAAACAAGACCAAAACAGTTTGGTGCAGCCAGTTATCTCTTCACAGTTTGTATACTTCCCCTCCTTTCTTTCTTAACACAATGCACACAACAATGTCTTACATTTCAAGTCAGATAGAACAGGCACAATTTCAAGCACCATTTCAAGTAAAATAAAATATGACTGAATCTCATATTCAAGACCTTTTTGAACATTACAGCATGGAGACATGTCACAGTACAGGCATACAACCCAAACATGAACCTGGAAACTAGAAATGCATTTCCTGCTGAAAATGCGTGTGAATGCTGTAAACTGTGTACATTTTGATTGATTGATTGATTGAAAAGTTTATTAACAGCTTGTATATTGGGTACAGTACAGTACAGCTTTGTTGCTGAATTTAGCAGAAAATGCAGAAAAAGCTTTATATTGTATTAGTTGAATGGTCTCTGTAGCTGCTTTTAGCTACAGAAACCAAGTAAGTGTGTTGCTGAACTTAGCAGAGAAATGCAGAAAAGTGAAATGATTTGAATCAAAATTGTTACAGCTCAAATGCATTGCAATGACTTTGTTGAAAACTTGAAAGTGAAATGTTAAACTGGAAGAGTAGGAAAAATAGTGAAGAAGCTTCATATTTAAAAGAAAAGGTTTAAAAAAGGTATAAACAACAACATGTATAGCCTCAATGTCCTGACATAGCTGAATAATGTAATCGTTGAATGGTTTCTGCAGCTGAAAATAGGCTGAAGGAGTTAGATATCAGATGTATGTAGTAGTGAATGAATGTGTATTAAGAAGAGAAAATAAAGTAAAAACGCTTTGAAAAGCAGCAGAATATTTTAACTGCAAACTTTTGAACTAAAACCATACGTCACCAATAATGTATAAAATATGTGGAACATGTTGAAGTCGGTATGAAGTCTTCATCAGACAGAAAATAATAGGCTGAGACAGTCTGTTAAACTCCAGTCTGTGGGTGTTTCTCAATGTCGAGGACGCTTCCTTGGTAGCATATGTCTTCCGAGTCACTTGCTTCAGAAGCGAGGCAAGAATCCTTGCTAGCCTCGAAAGACGAAGAATTGTGGAACAGGATAACAGGTGTGCAGGTGTGCGTCATATGCGAGGCCCCGCCTTAAATGTAGCGCGATTTCCGCCAAAGATTTGGAAATTGGTCCGTGCGCAAAGCATTATGGGGATTTTAAGACCGCGGAGTCTACACATAGTACGCCAGCCTCGGTAGAATTCCAAGTATGGACATTGGAACAGTGTCCTTCGGCGGCACTCGATGACGTAGTATGCTTGAAATAGTGGCTCTGGAGCAGTCTTCCTCGACATTGAGAAGCACCCTCTACTGCAGGGGTAGGCAAGTAAGTTGGGCCG